GAAGAAAATCAGAAGAACACAGTCTTAAACAATCTTAAATAAATATAAATGTATGCAGAGGGAAAGAAAGTATGGAAAAAGCCATCTTGTTCTGCATGATTAATGAGAGATTTATCAAAAGCCAACCATTTGTATCTTTTAGTAAGTCTTAGTGCTGTTAAGAGAGAAAAGTTTTGATTTTTTTCTCTCTCCCGTTCATGTGAGCAGTTTTGAATTTATATCACTCTTATATGCTTTTACCCTTTTCTTTTTATTCCAATTGCTATATTAACTTGTATTGTTATAGGAATAACCAGAGAGGGAAGAGTAATATTTGCAAGGAGGCATTTTTTAAATTTAGTTTTTAAGTGGTCTTAACAAAGATACTTGAGTATTTATAAATTCAGTAATATTTATTACTTAATAAACATTTTAGAGGGAGGTCTTTACACCTAACAAAAATGAAATGCATTTAACTTTACTGTTTTTGCTAGTAAATTTTTATTATGTAAAGATGAGCATGTGTGTATGTATGCCCACATGAATGTATATATCTGCCAAATTCAGAGTAGACATGAAAGTTGCTTCAAATGCTAGATGTGCTTGCAAAAGATCTAGCTCTTCTGACACCTCTAAGTCCCACTCTTTCATCACGACACCTGAGAAAAACTGTTACATGGGAGTTGTCAGATCCTTTCCAGTGAGCAGTCATCATTTCCAGAGAGCAATATCCACTTAAGGGGAATTCCAGCAGTACTAACTGTAGATGGAAGCAGATTTTCTTACAGAAGGAAGCCGGTAGAGTTCAACCATAGAGTTCAACCATCAACCATAGAGTATTTGTTAACTGATGTTTGCAATTGATCTACACCCTCTTCTAGATTTTAATTCAATCTGATACAGCATACCAACAAATCACAGGTTTTGTTTGTAGAATGACTGATATTTCACTGAAGTAGTCTAAATTAAGAATTTCACTTTTCTGAGAGCAAATCAGATAACAGAATTGCAGTTTTTCAGTGTGTCATGCTGGAGTCAATCTTGCATGGATCTACAATGTCTTTCTCCACTGAAATAGTTTGAAATTTCTTTTCCTGTTCTCAGTCCTCAAAAAGTGTTGTCACTCCCAGTGGTTTGATGGGCAAAAACTTCAGTGTTTGCACATCTCTTTGGTTTACTTTCACATTTGCATTGGTGAGCTCTGTTCAGCATTGCACTACAGCCCCTTCTTTTTTTTATCCTCATTTTAGGAATAATTATAATGAGCAGTAGCTTTAAAAATAGTTACATTACAGGCTTCATATGTATGTTGTACCTTGAAGTTTTTGATAGCTGCAATTTATTTTATAATGAAAAATGCCTACCATTATATTTTCATTTTAAAAAAGTAAACCTTTTATAAGGTACATTTTTAATGACATTTTTTCCTTTATCTTTTCATTTCAGTAGAATAGTTGTACTTTTACTGCTTTCTGTCTGGTGTTAGCTTATTTAGAAAGCAATACTAAACAAGACATTGACTGTGATGCTGAAAACTGCAAATATATTTTCAAAAGACTGCAATGGTCAGCAGAATATCAAAAGATGAAAAGGTCTGTTTACAGACATTGAAATACATACTTCGGTGTTACCCAAGTCTTTTGACTACAAAAATTATGCTGTAAAAACAGTCCTACTATTTATATTAATTTATGCCTTTGTTAATGGGGTAAGAAAAGAAAGGGTGGGGAGGTTCCAGAAAATGTGTAGTGTATTTTCATGGTATTTCAGTATTTCATTTTCTGACATTCTTAAATCATTTTAAGATTGATTATTTGCAAAGTTATTGCTCCACACATAGGAGTATCTTCATACATCTACTTTTCAGTGAAGCTTTCAAGAAATAAGTGAAAAGTCATGAGCATAAAAAATAGAATCTTCACAAGAAAAAGGGTAAAAAAAAATGAAATTAATTCCAAGAGTAACTTAACATTTTTAAGGCTCTTTTAACCTTTTCTTTATTCTTCTGCTTTGAATTTGTGTGTTTTGTTTCTGATCCACGAAGAATTGCATGTGCTCTCTTATGATATCAGTCTTGAGTTGGAGTCTGGGGTAGTGTAAACCACAGGACCAATCAGAATTTCTTACAAGATTCTAGTCTGTCAGTTTCTGAGTTGCTGAAACTCAGCAGTCAAAATTGCATCCAATTTTCTTACCAAATTTGCCACGGTGCAGAGTTTCTCTGTATTGATATATTTTTTCCATGTTTTTATTAATGCTAATTTCTTCATTAGGATGATGCAGTATCATTGTAACAGAAAATTAAGGTAATATTCACTGTGTCATTTTGTACAACTTTTACTTTTTGATGTGGATTGCTAAGGAGAGTAAGCACAGCTTTAAGGGCATACTGTAAATAACTTACGTGGTTAGGAACGTTTATTTAAAAGATATGTATTTTTTGCATGGATTTTCAAATATACTTTCCTAGTGTATTATCCTAATAAACAGGATTTATTTGTGAAGAGAGAAGATACATAATTTTACAAAGCAAGTGGCTTTCAGAAGGTTGGAGAAATACATAATTTTCATGTAGGGCCTTTGTAATCCCTAATTGTTTATTCTGTTCATTTATTTGCAGATATTACAGAGTGGCACTTAATGGATTTTGAAAAAAAAATCCACTTTCTAGCCATCCTGTTGAGAATTCTGTAAGCAGAGTTCTTAAGTATTGTGAAGGGGTCCATCAAATATAATGAAAAAGAAACAGTTACTATAAATATAGCAAACACTCAATGAAAAACGTGAGTAACTGTTGAAAGACCATATAATGTATTTTCAGTCTCTTATCTAATTCTGATCAAGGCTGGTTAATTTTGTGGAAGATATGCTTGAGTCCCAGAATATTTTAGAATGTTTTAAACACAGAAGGCACGGGGCAAGATTCTGTGACTCGCCTGCTATACAGCAATTCAGTCTAATGACTGTTCTGCATTTTGGACATTGAGATGCTTCACTAAAGAATATATGTCTGAAAGTCATGTAGCTATTACTTGACTGAAGTCAGTCGTAACGTTAGCTAACATGTGGTACAATAGGATTGTATCCCATGGCCTTGGATTTTGGATCTAGAGTATCTTAATGCACGAATTGCTATATAACAATTTTGTTTGTAAAGCATCAATCAAGTCAAGTATCATATCAGCGATCTGAAGGAATTCTCATTTGAAAACATAGTAAATTGGTGTCTGTGAAAAGCAAGTGGTATATATGGCTGGACTGCTAGCAGCAGGGAAGTGAACACAAGTAGCCTTTTTTCCTTGATCAGAGTAGTGCTTCCTTTTTTTATATATATTCAAAATATAAATGAGAACATTTTGTAGAATAAAATTTTCTAGGGTAGAGAGAAATAAACTGAATATCAGTCTCAGGTATTTTTCCATGTCTTTAAAAGGTCTTAGAGGTACATATTCTAAAATGCAGTGAAACACTAACAGTGCATCACAGACAAAAGTCTTACTGAAAGCTTATGCTTTTTTTACTCGAAGTAGAACTTGGTAAATAATTCTATGTAAGATAATGAAACACATTATATGCTCAGTTCATGTGAAAAGTCAAGGTGCATAATGATTTCTGTAGCTTTCTATTTGCTATCACGATGTTGTGGTTTTTCTTCCTGTTAACTGGAGTACTATTGAGCTCTATAAGAACAGATGAAAGAATTATTTTCACTTGAAACCTTGCTGGATTTTGTCAGGTTTTATTTTATCTAAAAATAAATGTTTCATAAAACCCTCACTATGTCTCATTTTATTCTCACAATTTATTCCTGATTATGGTAATTTATATATATTTATATATTTATATATATATATGTATATGAAGTCAAGCTCTCACTTTGCTAAACAACATTTCTATTCTGAAATTCTCTCAAGTGTACCCTGATGTTTGCTGATGTTGAGAGTCAAGATAAATATGTCTTTAGATGATAAAAGCTCAGAGAAGATATAATCTGTTAAAAAAAAAAAACAAAACAAAACCAACAACAGCTTTTCTGGTGCATATCTGTATTGTTGAAAACTAACAATTTCAATTGCTGCAGTTGCTGCATTTAACTTGAAGAGAATAAGGATAGCTGTATAAGCAATCAGTCTGATTTCTGCCAGCGGTTACTCTGCTATGTAGTATGTGGGTACACATCAGTTAATTTGGAGCTCCAAGCAGAGGCTCAGCTGCTTTGCTTGCCTGCTGTAGCATACAAAGGATAAGTGATATAATCACATTGAGGCTAAATACATTTTCTGCTTATGTTACATTTTTTTTGGTCACAGTTTGAAAAGTAGGTTAAAATGTCATTTAAAAAATGAATGCAAATCAAACTTAACATTTTTCTAGTATTGTGAGTTCTATGGTAGTGTAAGATATTTCATGTACATGACAGATCTCTGAAGCTTTCTTTTTCCAGCTTTGGGATCAGCATGTGCAGTCCTATTGAGATGTTATAAGAAATAGAGAAAAGTTAGTTGTGAGGAGCAGTATATGGGTTGCTGTATCAGGTGTATTATTGCTTTTTCTTATAGTCAGACTTACAAATAAGCAGTTCTTTCTTTGTTCAGGCCGTTAAAAAGTAGAGCAAAACAGAAACTAAAGTTATTGTTGTGAAAATCAAGCATATAACCTGAATTAAATGCACGTACTCTACTTATGTGTGTTGAAGAATTGTGTTTATATCTCAGAATCCAGACAAACACTGATATAAATGAACAACCATGAGTTCTTGTTTTCCATTTTAGAACAAGAGATGGAGAACAGAATTCCACTTTCCACTTCCGAAAATGTTATGACTGATTGTATTACTCTGCCATAAGATGGTTATTATAGCAGTTTAGTATTTGTTGAAAATGCCACAATTGATTTTACAATTCCCTTGATTTATTTTGTGTCTCTCTGTTTATTTTCAAGACAATTCTTTAGATGCTGTCTGAGTAAACGTATCCCAGGTATTACTTGCTAAATCTGGCAGCTTTCATCTTCTCTTTCAGGAGACACTGATAGATTGGTGTGATGAAAAGGAACTTAATTTGATTTTAACAACTGGAGGAACAGGATTTGCACCACGAGATGTCACCCCAGAGGTGAGTTACTCCTGGAATAAGAAAAACATGCCCTTTGATGTAGAAATGTATGACTTGTGGGGTGGGAATGTTAATTCTTTCTGAAGTTTCCTCTGTAACTTAACTTGGCAGTATCTTTAGTCAGATCAGGTGATGCACAATTTGGAAGGAGAATATGCTATAGGGAATACAGCTCAAGAGAATTAATATAACCTTGGTTTCTGACCCAAAAGAGTTTTCAGACTAAAATGAGACATAGTAAAAAGGATATCCAGTTCCAGTAGAAACATAATAGAATTGTGATAGCACTGGTGTAATTTTCCTTAGCACTGCAGTACAGCACTGCTAAGCAAAAACATCTATATCACATTTCTTGTGTTCCATGCAAGAAAAGTGAAATGAAAGATTTCCTTTAATTCTCTCTTAAAGGCTTCTGTGTTGACAACTTTGTAGGTTAGAAAGTAGGAGATAGATTACAGGGGAGAAAAACTGTGTAAAACTGCTATTGCTTCACTTGAAACCACATCATCAAAAAAGCTGAATGGGCAGAAATGGAGGTAACCTGCATCAGTAAATGTTGCACAGGAAATTCAGTTATTTTTCACGTCTGTGGAGCTCAGGTAAGGAAAAAAAAAAACAAAGCACCTACATGAAGAAAACTTAACCAAATAACCTTATGGCCATGAAATGATAATTGTTATTGAATTACTTAGTATTTGTGGCTCTAGGTGAATTTCTAGGTGAATCTTCTTTAGGTGAATTTGAACTTGTAAAATCACATACCTCTTTTGATATGCTTATGTTCACTGAAGGGCAGAAATACAACTCAATGCCTGAAGTGTTTATTTCTATAATTTATTATATTTAGTTTTCACTTAAGTTCTCATGTGAGTTTACAATTGCATACAATTTAAGAGTAGTTTTTAGTCCATCATAACAGGCTTACAATCCTCTTTATCTACAAAAACGTTCTGTTAAACTTGAGTGCAGTTTAAATTATTTTCACTAGGAATATTTAAATGCTTTTTATTTGCTGTATAATATTAGTGTAACTAAAAGAAAAATGTAAACAAAATGCTTGTGTATTTCTGATGATTTTAGATTGTATACTAGAAACCTTAACTAAAAACTAAGGATCTCTGTAAAAGAAAATGGAGACAGTACAAGATAACTGATAGCATACTAGCTAGTGAAAGTGAATTTACAGGTGATTCACATTGCTAAAGCAACACAAAAATGAAAACTGCATTGATTCCACCGGTCTCTTACTTGCGAAGTAGCATAATGGTTTACAAGACTGTATACCAGCACTGTGTAAAAAGGTGTAATTTTTGTTCCAATTTTTCTGATTTACTAACTTATGCAGAGTTGAGTAGTAGTGCCAGAGGAAGCATTTCAAACTACTTACAATGAATTACAGATTCTCAAGCAGTGCTGGGGCCAAGGAATTAACAAATGAGAACTTGACATTAAAATAGCTGGCATTCTCCTTACGTTGATTCATTGCTGTTACTCAAACTAGTTATGTAATACAGGTAGTGATGATTTGTTTGACTAGATTAGATGTTACAGAGACCCATTTTAAAAATGATCTTAGCTCTTTTAATCTCATGCTATATAATAACAGCACATTGATATAAGTGCTTAAAGGGAAGAAAATCAGTTTTCAAACGCGTTGTAAGTAAAATATCTGTTTTGAGTCAAGGAGGTAGATAACTTGGAATGGAAAAATTCAATGTCAACGTCAAATGTGCAATAAAAAACTTCCAGAAAAACTAATTGTAGGAACGAGTTAATAAAACTCATGTATTGTGTAATGAGTGGATTTTATTATCTTTCATGTATGGTGTTTGTACAGCATACTCACATGTCATTACTGAACTGTTACTTAAATGATTTAATCATGACACAGTGCTAGTGAGATATCATCCTTAAGGCATGATTTTAAACATACTAATAATTGAATCTGATTGGGGAAGGCATTTGAACGTTTTTCCTGAGATTAGTGATAGCAGTCCATCAAGTTGTATTTCAATTGAAATGATTATATCCTGCTTCTCCTTAATTTTTCCATAGTTTCAGCTAGAAAACACAGCTTTCTACTTTTTCTGATCATTGATACATAATTGCTGTTGTACCGTACAAGACAAAGTTGATTTCTGAGAGTATATGCAGCCCAAATAATTACTTAAAGTTAAATTATTTTTATTGATTAATTTTTTTTTCTTTAAAATTTTTTTTCTTGCAACAAAATAGATGACTTGAAGAGTATTCATGCTATCTGATTTTGATTATCTATCTCTGGTTCCTGAATTTATTACAAAGGTCTAGCGAGTCGATGAAGAGACACTTTCAAGTTAGATGTTAGGATTTCTGTTTGCAGTAGTGGATGTAGAGCTAAGCAGATGGAGTATCCTTTGCCTCCCTGTCTGCATGACTATAAGTGGTGAACTGAATGTGGATAGATGAAAATCAAAACAGTCGGTGGATACCTGAATTTGAAGGAAACCCTTGTTGATGTCATTAATGAATGCTGTAATCCCTCAACTATCGTGGCAGTTCTTGGTCAAAAGTAGAGGCTTAATTTTGTCGTTATAACTTCTTTTTCTTTTTTTTTTTTTTAATTGTTTTAATCTTCCATATTGTTTATGAGTATACGATTTCAGTCCATACTGGAAATGTTCATATAAACTTTTTGTTGATATATGAATGTTGCTGGACAGACATTAAGGTATTACGCATTCTCCAAGTTATGTGGGGAATTTTTTTATTTCCAGATGCAGACAATTTCCACTTGGAACTACAATACTTACAAAATTTTTACATGATGTTAATGAAAATATACAGTATTTTTTAACAAATATTTAAACGTGATAAATTTTTGATCATTAGGTTTCTTTCTGATACATAAACATGTTTTCTGTATTGCTGTCAATCAGTACAAAAGGAAAAATGCATTCAGACATTCTGTTTAGTTTCCTGTCATCTCTACTTTTACATTTATTCTTTTGCAGTATTCATTTGCCTATCTCTTAACAGTCTTCTGGCTGTTTTCTTCTCCTACATCTCTCCTGTATCTCACAAGTCTTGTTAGCCTCCATATAAAACTAATTTTATTTACTTAGGTAACAGCAATAGGTGGTCAACCTAGGCTAGACTGATGCTAGAAATCTTCGAGCTGTTGCTGCATATATTCACAAATAGTTCAAATCCACTGCAGATAATTGTCAGCTCTGAAATTTTAAGACAATACTTTTAGAGAAGTACAGAAGAGCTCTTTCCTATCATGGAAAACCCCTGCAGATATTTTCTTATAGTTTTACTTCTTTTCCTCTGCTCTGGAAAAAGTGACGAATATACCTTTTAGTTCTTGCTGGTTATATTCTACAATATTTATAGACTTCTGAAAAATATATTTAAAGACATGCCTGTCTTCATTTGATCTGAAAATATATGCGCACCTTTTCACTATTCTTTCATCAAAGAAGTCCATGGAAAAAAACAACAAAACAAACACTATTCTCTGGAACTCATGTTTGTCAGCATTTTTCAGAAAGAAACCTGCTCAGAATGGATAAAATATTCCAAACCTAGCTATACAAGCACTGCCTCTGTTCTGCAGCTCCCTAAGGGGTCTTTCACTATTACTGCTTCCTATGTTTCTCCTTTGAATTTAATGCGAATTTTTCTTCAATAATTTCACTTTCCAAATTCCAAAATTCCAAATTCCATTTCATTTCCACAGACTATTTTAATTTCACTGTCCTGAGGAGCATTTACTATTCTATTCTGTACTGTTTGTAATTGTTATATGCTTTGTGTATTGGTTTGTTTCCCCTTCATTTTTGTTAATGAAGCAGGGTGCTTGTTATACAGTGGGGTTTGTGATGTTATAGTTGTATTCTCACAGCAACTCATGTGTTCCCTTCAGATTAACTCAAATCTGTAGAGATATTTCACATAACAATTTTTGTTTCATATGTGATTATTTCAACTCTGAAGAATTATTATGTAGTTATTTTCATCCTCCCTGGCTAAAATAGTGCCTTTCCAAACCAGCAAGATTTCTAGCAGCATTTCTTATGAGGAAGGGAGAGCTTCCATGCTTTTTTAACAGTATTCAGCTCTTCTTCATGTGGTTACTGAGCCACAAAAAACTCTTTTTACAGTGTCTGTCACTTCATGCTGGCTCATGAGGAGAAATGAAGTCTTCACCTTGTATGGGACATCAGTCATTTGATGGTGGAAATACTGTGAAATATACAACCTCTAATTACTCAGGCTGTTGTTTCAGTTTTTCGCTGTCAATATTCAATCTCCCCACCAGTTTTAAAAACTTTTTCATAATGTATTTTGGTAGTCTGTCTTAGAACTGCAGTTTTCCGTATATCTTCATGGAGATTTCACTCCGTTATGTGTAATTTCTTTGTGGAGGTATTACATGATGAGGTATGCTGTGCTTGTATGCTTACTGCTCCTGTAACTTGCCATCAGACCTTTCGAGAACTGTTGTACCCCATATTTCCTTGGAAATCATATTTTCAGCCTAGCTTGCTCTTTAAGGGTCTGAATTATGAAACCTTGCTAGGTGTATCTAGGCAACAAAGAAACTTCAATGGAGTATGCTGCTCTGTGATAAAATCCTGAGTTCTGTTACATTAGACTTTTATCAGCAACTCTGTACGGCATCATTCTCTTTTTCTTAGACTTCCAGACAGTTCCTAGCTTAGATGATTAAGTCTTTATCCATTCTGATTTAGTTTTTTAATAAAATTAAGGTTTTGGAACCCTGTGTTGGATGTTACAGAAATCCAGATATATTTGTGTGCTCTATTCATTTAACCAGTAATTCTATAGCCAGGTTTTACATCACAGATTTGAAAGACAGTATTACAGCAGAGCAATTGCAGAGCAGTTTTTACTAAGTAACAGTTTCCAGTGTCCCTGAGAAACAGCAGAACACTGTGAGCTTACAGAAACATCTCAATGTTAGAAAATTCCAAGCTGATTTAGCTGTCTCGTTAAATCCTGAAAAGCAGAGTTTTTCTTCTCTTGTTGGAGCTGCTTAGGAAATCTTAGGTACTGAAAGGCTCTGATAGTCTGCTGAAGAGGTGTAACAACAACTGTCGATGGCAAGCCTAAGCCAGAAAAGTCCAGTAAGAAAGCAGTCATAATGGAATTTTTTCTGTGTGTGGATTGGCTTGGTGTGGATTTTTTTTTTTTAAACAATAAGAGACTAAACATACAAACAAGTTCCATCCCCCCAAAAAATGAAAAAAAAAGCTATATTTTCTCTGCTTCATCTCTGTCAAATGAAAATGGATTGTTTGTCGAATTATAAAAAACAAGTTATGTGGGATCCCTAATGAAAGTAATGGATTAATGAATTATGTACAAAAAAGCCATACTAGATTCTAAACTAATGTTCTGTACATGTTAAATGAAGAGACTATTTCAGTCAAGTGGGTCCTGAAATTAGTGGATAAGCAATTGTCTGTCCTGTTTCCAAAAGAACATATTAATTACTTCTCTTTTTTTGAAAATTCAAAAATTGATGACATTGGCTGAGGATGTTGGGGTATTTCAAAATCTTTAATTGATTTTTTAATCTTTTAAAAGCTATCTGACCATCATATTCTAAAGATAATAATAGAATTCCTGTCAAACACTTCAGGATATTTTTGACCATTTGAAGATCAAATTTCATTTGCTTCGTTTTATCTCTCCTTGGTGCTCTGAGCTACCAAGTAAAAGTTCCACTTTCTATTTTTCAGAATATTTACAAGCAAGTACTGTCAAAAAAAAAAAAAAAAAAAAGAAAGCAGGTCAAACACCAGTAGGGAATTTACACATTTCATACAGTGAGAAGGAAAGCCACAGTAACGTCAGGAAATATCACTTTTGTATCATAAATTTTCCAGTTAAAATTTTGTTCCAAAGTAATTTAAGAATGAAAGTGACTGGACAAATTGTTCATATCCCACTAATCCCAAATACTTTAAAAATATACCATTTTTTTAAAAAGACATAGTTTACTGCTTATCAAAGGAAAGGGTTCTCCTCCTATTGGCGTTACTGATACATTGTCTGTGCTTTTATTGTAGTGACCAGAGCTCTTACTGATGTGTCTTTATTAGGTTAAATTAGCTGGCTTGGCTCAGTTAGCCGCAGAGAATTGATCTTGCAGTCCTTTTTTTCTGTAACTGGAGAAGAAATCTTTGTTTACTTTGGTTCCTCTGCATAATGAAATTTCCAATTTGGGACTTTGGGAATTTCTGCCTTTTAGGCATTACCATTGGAAGATCTCTTCACAACAGGTAATAGGGAACTACACAAAATTAAACATCAGGTTAAACTAAAACAATATTGAAAATGTTGTTAGGCCAGTAATTTATCATTTTCTAGATATATGGACATTCAATATGGAGAAAATTAACAAAAACTCTTTCTGGAAGCAGCTTTAAGAAATGATAACTAGAAGACAACTGCTAATTTGAATGTAAGATATATGAAAAATTGAGTTAGTTCTTTTGGCATAAGCTCCCCAGAATACCAAAATAACTGATTTAGAATAGTTTAGTGTTGGAACTAATGCTTATTGAACAGTGGAAAATTTCTCATTTGCTCCTTGCCTGTTGTGCAGGAGCGCTTTCAGCCACTAATCAAAACTGAACTGGATGATAACTCTGTACATGCTTCTGCACATTCCTACCGCATGGAACAATGCAGCTTCTTCAGCAAAGTGTTAATTAAAAGTATTTGGAGAGAAAAACATGACTATATAGTCACTCAGAAGTCTTATCAAATATCAGTTAGAAAATAGTACGTTTTTAACCTTAGTTCAGACTATTTGCTGTTACTTCAGCTTCCTCGCACTTCATGCTTACGCATATATTCTTTTTCCCAATTGTTTTGTAGGGTGAATGCCAAAATTGGTAGTGAGGGGCATAATCTGCTGTGTTCTAATTATTATTGATTTTTAAACTTCTACTGGATGTAGAAGTACAGTTTTTCCTTCCACAGTGGTTCTCTAAGATCAGTTTGTGATAGTTCATTTTCATTGAGCCTTGAAAGGTCTACCTTTGGAGATAAGATGACAGCAATTTTGCTCTTAATGCAGTTCAGCTAACTCTAGCGGCTGCTAGCCAGAAAATCAGGAGTTGGTAAAACTACCAGATGTGCTTATGTGCTCTAAAATACCTTCTGTTTTTTAGTATCACTACCTGCTCTTCCTCAGTCATTTATATTATTTTGCTCCTGGCTAGTTTATGCCTTTACTAGTCATATAATTTAAATCTCTTCACCTCCTCTGCTTAAATTTTCTGCTACTCCATTCCATGCCCAGATAGTAGTGTTTGATACAGGGAAGTTTTGATATGGAAGAAATTTTTATTCTGTGATTTCTACATCTAAGGTTATATTAATCTCTACTATTCCTGTGCCTTACTTGGCTGGGAGGCAAATAATGGCTGGTACCCAGAGGATCAGTATGAATAATGAAGCCTGTTATTACTGTAATGTATTTCTCAAAAACTTTGTTGCTTGTGAATATGTAGCTATACTGTTTCGGTGACCTTTCCAATTAATAATTCAGCAGCGCACGTTAGTACTAATGATTTCTTTATTGTGTCTGAGCTTTTTCACAGTTTACACAAGAGGGTGGAGTTTTCTTCTTGTTGTGTGTTCTTCCCTGATCAGAATGAGTGTAGGTTTTCAGTATTAGTATTAGAAGTTAATAGAATAGGCAGTTAAGTACACACATAATATAGGCTTCTAAGAGAACAGAAATTGCTAGCAAACTTTGATTCCCGTTTGCTTTCCTCTTGGTGACTAGGAAGACAACCCATGACTGAAATGACAGATGAGTTAAATTACCAAATTTCATTACTGCTGTTTTCTCAGTTCTTACATTCTAGAGTTCATTGTGTGTTTCTGAAAAAGAATTTGATTACAAAAGCAGCCATGTTTAGTAAGAGAGCTCTGTGCATCATATGTTGGATTTTTGCAACTCTTGCCATAGACTATCCCACAAAACTTAAAAGACTAAAGCTATTCTGTAGAGTATGAATTTATCTAGGCCAAATTCAAACACGAGCCTACACTAGTAATGAGTAACAGTTGATAACTTGTTCAGTTTATCTCACAAATGGCCAACACTGGCTAATGGGTACTCCTCGTCATCTTCACAAGCTATTTTCCGGTGGATATGGGAATGAGCTCACAAGACCATTCCCTTTCCCCTCTTACACACGTTGTGCTAGAGGTAAGTGTGGTTTGGGGAAATAGGGTGGGATGTCATGAGATGAAAGTGAATGTGGGCTTCTTAAATTTTTCACAAACCTCAGTAAAGGCATGTATCTGGGGATGGACAAAGAATCAGGTGAATTTTTATTTTTTGCCCAAAGAGGTTACCCAGTCCTAAATTTACATGGTTTCCTTGAACTGGGAGTTAGAAATCCCTTTTCTCTTCTGTTTTTCTGCTGCAGAAATTCCCAACATTCCCATTATGTGGGCTCCAGAGAGGGGTAAGCAACATCTTCAATCCCACCCAATCATTTCCAAACTAATTCTTTGCTAGTATTTTTTTGCTTTTTAAATCATCATCAGAAATAGCTCTTAGATGCATTTTTCCCATTTGTTTGATTTTCTTATGGATTCTCATATTTTTGTTTTATAGGAAGGTCCCACGGCCTCCCCAAGTGCTAGGGTCAGACTCATCTGCTGTTTCCATTTGTGTGCTATTCTCCCGTGGATTTTCATGGTTCACTCTGTTGATCTAATGGCATTATCAGAGGGTGAGCTTTTAGATTCTTGGGACTTTTTCACTTATGGTACCTTAAGTTATTGCAAAAGTACTGTCACCCTGCTGCCTTGTCAGTTAGTTAACAGGCTTATGTTTTACCCTTGCTGACAGCTGCATCCAATTATTCATGGGCATTGGTCTTCTGCTACCTTGCCTGTCTGGGGACTGCCTGGCACTCACTAGTCCTCTTCTCTGTACTGCTGGCTGTGTGACATTGTCCTCCCAAAATCTTGGCCCTTTGCCTGACTGTCTGGCATTACTTCTTGACTAGCTAATTGCTAGACACTGAATACCTCCTGCCCTGCCCATCTGCTGAATGGCGTGTACTGCCTCCTTATTGTCCCTTCTCTCTGATTACTTGTGGGCAATGGTTTTCCACTGCCCTGTCTCCCACTTGGAGTGCCTGACATCACCTTCCTGCTGAGTGCATCTGCTGACTGCGGAGTTGTTCTTCTGCTGCTTGGCACACCTGCTGTTTGATACTGCTTTATCAACTTGCTGAATGTCTGGCATTTTCATCCTGCCTTTCACATGCTTCTTGATTATAGTGTCCCCTTGCTGCTCTTTGAGTCTGCTTACTTACTGATACTTGCTCTTTTGCATTCCTGTCCACTTGCTTTTATGCCTGGCATTTTTGTCACATTGTCCTGCCCACCTGCCTAGATTTTATTCCTAAATATGCATCAGTCTGAAAAATTAAGAAGAAAAGTAAGGAATGGGGAGAAAATATTATCTGACTCCTTCATGATCTGATTCAGTTCAACATACCAGCCCAAAAACTGATGTCAGTACCTGCATCCAGCTTTTTCTTACTTTGCTTATTCAAATCCCTCTCCCTCCTTACAAAAAACAAAACAAAAACCAAAACAAAACAAAATCCCCCCCCTCCCCCCCCCCCGAAAACAAAAAAGGAACAGACAGCAAAAAAAAAAAAGAAAGGTCCTAAATCTTACTTAATCTTTACTCCATCACCTCATTTGATAGGTATATTACTGTTTGGAAATGCTGTGTTAAGTATCAAATTCAGCACTAAAACAAATCCCTAATGTTATATATGGTAATTTTTGCAGAACCCGTGGAAGGTAGGTAATAACAAAAAAAAAAAAAAAAAAGGGGGGGGAAAAAGGCAAGCAGTGCGTTACTGAGGCTCAGAGAGATTAATGGCTGAATGTTGAGCTATGACCAACAAACACTGAATCAAAGGAGTTAAGTAAGAAATTTTACAAGTCTCTTGTTTGAATCACAAGTTTGCAGCTAACCTAAAAAAGGACATTGGATCAGTATGTGATTACCAGACTGCAGTGTGTTGTAGTTGTTGTTTCCTACTCTGCTGAACTTTTGGTACTGGAAGAATATTTGGTTATTAGTTTACAGAAACCTTTTTGTCACTTTTTCACAGATTGAGAACAAAGACTTGACTACAAATGTAAGATCCATGGTGAGGGTTCACAAATCATGGACAGAGCTTACTGTATGAAGTACAATTTTCTGCTTTTATTTTAATGCCACTCACTCATCCTCTGTTTTCCTAGTTCTGCAACCGTTTCTAACATACTGTGAATGATTGTAATTTAAATCACGCTTTTGAATCCAGTACTAACTAGGAACTGGAGTAAATACTCTCTCATAATGAATCGTGTCATAATTTCATGATAAAGACTTCCTTCTCTTAAAATAATTGTCATATCCTATTAACTTAAGCTTTTAAACTCTCAGTACATTATTTTATGTTTTATAGTACGTGTTGTCTCCTTGCTATCTTCAGAGATATCCTAAATACATTGACTGACGTTAAACCTGACCAGCAAGCCAGCAGCCTTGACTGAGTACCTCTTCACTTGTGCCAGACTATATGTTGGCTCTGAGAGGTATCCTATGAGAGCACAGCTTGCTTCTGACACCAGCCTGCCATGGAGAATGGCTCCCAGTGTGGCAGACAGCCACAGTGAGAGCCAGCAGGGACTTTCTCCTCGATGTCACACTGAACTCTCAAAATCTGCTGTACTGCTTTATTCAGCTCCAAGGAACTTCAGGACAATAACAACCTTTTGGTGTCCTAGGCTTCTCACTCTTAGCGACTCTTCCCTGTTTCTCCAAACATATTTTTTCACAACTTTGCAAATTCTTAAAAACAGCAGGTTTACAGTCTCTCACTTCCCACCAATTTCGCGCTGTTGAGGTTTGTGGATAAAAGAACAGATCTCAGTGGCAATTCACTCTCTGAAGGTTTTAACTTTTGGTGCTACTTTGTTTTGCTTCTTTCCTAGAATGTTGTTTGAGAACTGGCACCAAGTGAGCATGAGAAGAGAGGAGGAGCATTTACTCTTGCACTGTAGGGCTGCTGGACAGCTCTTGACCTCATTTCTTACCCCAAGAACTGCAGGTCATATCATCACAGGTGTATCAATTCAATTAAAACAGTTTCTCTAAATTAATGTTATCTCAGAAAAATGGCTAGTTTCCAAATAATATGGATGTATAAATTTTAAACAAAATGCAGAAAAATTCCGAAACTGAAGATAAATAAATACTGTGCTTTTCCTTGAACATATGCTTTTTTCCTGGTTGAAAATTGTACCTCCTGGAAAAATTGGTGCAGTGCTGACTCAGGCAGCTTCATGGTAAAAATGTCCAAGGAAATCAGCTTTTCATCTGTAGTGATCAAGCTATTGCAAAAGCATTTTAGTCATTTTGAAAAAATATATGTTTAGTTGAAAGAATACACTTTAGTTTCTGTCTTATAAATCTGGCCCAGGAGTTTTAGGGGCAACAGCTTCATTTTCAAGAGTGAAAAAAGTGAACAGCTATCTGCCACTTTTCTATGAGTTGACTAAGTATTTCTCTCAGATGAGTCAATATTTATGTATACAGAATTAATACATGAACAGAAAACCCTAAAACTTCAGTCTCTCTCTCTCCAACACTTCTACATTGCATGCAAATTTAACACTGGAGATTCCAAGAATGAGAAGGACATAGAAAGCAGATTTCTTTGTCTCCTGGTAATTTTGTTTCCTGCAGCATCTTAAAGAGAAGCTGCTATTAACTCATCAACACTCTTTTCAGAGAGAGAGTAGTTTTCTTTTGATATTTGAAAAGTTAGTAAGATGCACTTAACTACCCTAGCTTGTGTGTTTTTCTCAAATAATAGCTTGTCACATTCTTAAAACAGCTTAATATATACCCCAATAATGTTTTATATCCTTGTTTCTTTTCCTCGATTTAAAAAAAACCAAAACACACACACACAAAAACACAAAAAAAAACAAAACGATTTTCTTAATTTAACTTGGTTCACTCAGACACATAGCGTTGGGAAATTAAGGTTGGGTACATATGGTTTCTGTGTTATTCTGCATTACTGTCTTTCATCATCTACATATACTATATAGAATCCTGATGTCTGATTTTTTTCTTTAATTAATATCTCTAGAGCTATTTGTGGTTGCTGTTCTCAGAATGTGAGCACATTGCTCTGGTAGTAATAGGAGGTAAAATAGTCATGGTCCATCTTTGATAGCTATTGCAAGACAGTTGAATTATACCTTCAGATCTTACAGCTTAAAATGGTAAAGTCAAATGATAGGTAATGAACTGAATGTATTCTTTAAATACTATCTGTCAGTTACAGGACAGTTAGACCATGATAAGATTATCCTAACAGTGTCATATTTCATCTTCTCTACAAAACTTTTTCATCTAATTATGTCCATGCGAATCTTGGAGAACAAAAGAAATTATTCATGCCAGGAATTAAATAATACTGTTCAGGAAAGTGTTGGAATCACTTTTGCTTTCAAAGTCTGTTCAGTTTTTCAGTTCCAGTGAGCACATCACTCACGTATATCTACATCAGCAATTATTCATGCACCGGACACGTGAATTGCATTACTGGATCTCACTGAATAATAGTTTTTATGAGTTTTTATGTTATGGCATTAATTCCTGAAAGCTGTTATCACCATACTTTACCACTTATTTGGACAGTGAAGATATTATTTAAGGCAATCTTAAGAGAAAGTGCTTTTAGTAATTCTTGAGTTGTTGAAGTAAATGCTTGAAAAGTTATCGCTCAATGCACCATTCTTTGTACTGTAAAAATGCATTTTAGGAGAGGTTGTTTTTTGTTGTTGTTTTTTTTAAATCTTCAACATTGATGATTTTAGATTCAAAATTTTTTGAAAGAGATGTGGCAAAAGCTCACCAGAGTTCTGTAGGCAGTGTTTGTACTTCATGGATGGTAGCAAATACAGACAACGTTCCCGCTGTTCTCAAATAGCTACAAAATTATTTATTTAGAGATGTAAAATTGTGAATAGAATTTCAGTGCATTCACTGCCAAGAAGACTGGGCAAGTTCTTAGGAGAAAGTAGTATAAATTTCTGACTGGTGGCTTCATTCTTTATGTGTGCTAATGAGGATCTATAAATAATAAGTTTTCATCCTGTGGTATCGTAACCATCTCAAAAGGAATGTTTTTTTTCTCTTTTCAGTTCTAGACTGTATTGATTAGTACACTTCTTGAAACTAGTTTTACATGAAATTAAGATAACTCAATCCTGTTTCTTCTTTGATACAGGTAAATAGTCTAGAATTTAGTACACATAACCACATGTTCAACACAGAGTAATTTTTTAATGAGACACCGCTCCCTAACATTATTTAATGCTCATTACATTGTCAGTTGCAGTAATTGTAGAATTCTTACTGGTATTGATTATT